AGTAGAGTTAGTTACAAACTAACCAATAGTTTGGAATTTATGTTCCAGTTTAAGTAAGAACTTACGAATGATGGATGGATGGTGCAACTCTAATGTTATTTTCAATAATAATAAAACAAGCCACTAAACAAGCCAATCCACTTTCTTCCATGTTGATAAGAGCATTAAAATGAGAAAAAAAATAATGCAACACATTTAGAATAAATGTAGAAGACATTTAGAATAAATAAAAATGTGCGATTAATCGCGAGTTAACTATGACATTAATGCGATTAATCGCGATTAAATATTTTAATCGTTTGACAGCACTAATAAATACACACACATGCATATATTTAAGAAATATTTGCATGTATACACTTTATATATATTTTTACATAATTAATATTATATATAAATATATGACATATTATTAACACATTTTTCTTAAATATATACATGCATGTGTGGGTATTTATATCTACAAATTAATTACACACACATATATTTATGTAAACACAAAGTTTTATTTTGGATGCGATTAATCGCTGCCCATCCCTAGCACGGTCTGATATGTTTAGTGTATAGTATCAGACCGCCATAAAGTGTGAGCAAGTAAAGAGAAACATGACGAGTGGATCCGATGTGCAGAACAGGTCGAGGCCTACGAGTGCAAAGCAAGCGTACAAGAGGCCAATTTGTGCCGAGTTTGGTCAACCTAAACACTCCTGAAAAGACTGACGGATCGCTGGTGGCGCATGAAGCATGAGCCGGTCGGAGTTTCTCCCAGCGTCCGCTAACATGTGCATGCTCACACACACACACACACACACACCCACATTCACAGGCGCACAGCTGTCACCGGCAGGCAGCAAAGGATCATTCACAAAAACACCCCCCTCCCGGCTCTGTTTCCCTAAGTATCTGTGACACACACACACACACACTCACAGTGAGGCAGCATGTGGAGATTCATTACTCAGCAGTGCAGACAGTGTGCTGTGGCAGCAACAGTTCACTCATTACCCCGCAGGCAACGCAGACCATGCCCTTCATTCGGAGGATGCTGGGATAGGATTTTCCCTCTTAAACAGATCGGGCCCATAGTCTGATGGGTCAACGCCATGGTCTGGGTCAGAAAGGCTAGTCTTAGAACAGTTCAAAGGGCATCCGATAATATTCAAATAGACCCGTATGTAGGGTTGGATATCGTTTAAATTTGAACGATTCTGATTCCGATTCCGATTCCTTGTTTCGATTCCGGTTTCTAACGATTCTCGATTCCGATTCTTTTAAGAGGCAGGGTCAAAAAAGTTTAGCTAACCTTGCTAACCAACGGCCTTTCTGAAGGAAATACTCCTTCTGTAAAAATACTCCTTTTGTCACAAATTTTGCATTTTGCAGAGATTTCGTTATTTTTAGAAAAGTGAAGCCACACTTTGGATCACCGACGTAAGGTACTCATGTTCGACTCACGTGGTTATGCCAACACTTCCGGTAGACGCTTCTTTGTTGGTGTTGTTCAGCAGTTTCTTCTTCCGCTCGGCGGACTGTGAATATCGAAACTAGGAATCGAAATTTTTACTTTTGAACGATTCCGGGAAAAACGAAAAGTTAGTCTCGGTTCCAATCGATACTCGATTCTCGATACCCAACCCTACCCGTATGCTACATGGTAAACCAAAAGCATATTGGACTACCATAATATCATTCAGTGCATTTATGGTTGTCAAAAGTACCAGTACTTCAGTGCCAAGCCACATACTTAAAATATCACATATCACATATTGCGTCTATTGCGGTTTTGTATATCTACTTTATCAATAAGTGTAATCTACTGCGAATCTGAACAGTTTTACGTTTTTGCATTCAAGTAATATTTGCCAAACAGATATTTATTCCACATTTTATGACTTTCAAAAAAAAAAAAAAAAAAATCAGCTAAAAAACTGTTTCTTTTACTCATTTTTTTCTTCGAGACACATTTTTATCTCTTGACTAATTAATGCTGATTATTTTGCTTTGACACTAAACTAACTTAGTTCTGCTATTTCTACACAAAAAAGTCCCACTTTAATATTAGCACAGATATATGCACGGCTAGCTGCTTTTGAAAATTACACACCATCATCAAGTTCAAGTCATCCATTGCATCATTCATGCAAATCTGCGGTCTCAAAACCTTTAACGTCGCACAATTAATCTGGCTAGACCAAAAATTTGAACTTTACATACACAAATCTATGCAGAAATTAAGTAATCTATGCACGTGTGTGTCTAACTACCGTAGCCTATTCAATTTTCAACATTAAATATTCATTTATACAAAATATCTATTCATTTAACAATGTCTTCAGCTAGTACCTACACAAAAGTTGCTCACAAAATAAATGTTCAAATCTTAAAACCATACAGTGTGTACAATCAAAGTGAGTCACATCACCAAATCAACTGTTGTTTATCTAAAAAGAGACAATGTCACTTCATCCAACACAAGTGCTGATTAACAACTAATCATCATCTGAAAATTAAAACACGAGTCGAGGACGACACGCTATTTAATTTAAGAAAAATATTCTCGTCTTCCCATCAAGGTTGTGGCATAATAGACGGGCTAAAAAAAATGTTGCATTGGCTTAGGATCTTAAAACACTTCACTTCCACAGAGAACACACGATCAAATATCTAAGCATTATTCTCTTATTCAACAACAAGAATCTCAGAATACCATAAATGTCTGAGTGTGTTCAAGAGTGGTGCGAGTCTGAGAAAGAGTTTGACAATGAGGGATAGTACAACAGCAGTGACACCTGGCTAACACCTACACTGCTTGTAAACAGACACACATTGAGTCTGAAGTGAACAAGCATGCTACTTTCAATATTACCTGCACCTGGATCAGTGACATGCTCCCACCTAATGCATCTAATGAGTTTTAAACAAGTAACCTGGATGCAAATAAACATCCCTTTCACCTTACAACATGGATAACAAATTATGGTATAATTCTAAACATTACAAATACTCATCTCTAATAATAATAATAAACATTTCACCACATGCAAAAAAAAAATATGCATGAAAAAAGTTATCAAAATGCATGTAATTTAGAAGAATTAAATTTCATATCAAAAGAGATTCAGATAGGCAATCAAGATTCTTGAACAAAGATTTGAGACCTGACGTTATTCTCATAAAAATAATACCACAATCTCTTTAGTAACGCAAAAAAGGGCCTAAACAAATGTTAGAAGCATTCTTAATATCAGAAAACCTAGATGCAAATGTCAACAGCTCATAATTAGGGCTGTCAAACGATTAATCGCATTCAAAATAATAGTTTGTGTTTACATAATATACATGGGTGCACTCACTGTGTAATTATTTTGTATATATAAATACACACACATGCTTGTATACATTTAAGAAATATTTTCATTTATATACTGTATATATATTTATATTATATATAAATACAATATTTTTTCTTAAATATACATGCATGTGTGTGTATTTATATATACACAAAATAATTATCCACAGTGCACCCACATATATTATGTAAACAAAAACTTTTATTTTGAATGTGATTAATCGTTTGACAGCCCTACTCATAATGTAACCTAGTAAATGACATTCATTAAATAAACCTTTTTATGAAATGCAAATACCTCTTAATATTGGACAGATGCTGCAAACCACTGAATTGCACACGTTTTAAAGCAAAGTTGCAAAATCCCTTAAGCATGATTGTTAAAAACAAACCAGAGTTGTGTGCATGAATGACCTGTTTATGAAATGCTAAATTAAACACCATTAATCAAATTATTTTTCAATGCAAAAGTGACTCAAAATGAAAAATAAAACAAAAAGTATCTTATTAAATAACAAGTTGCATACATTTAAAATGTGAAAACGCTTTAAAAGGCGTGTAAGTAGAGCGGCTCTTCGGCGGGGCTCTTTGCTGCATTAGATGCAATTATAAATGGCCAGGCGCAGGAGAAGAGGCAGCCAATCAGATTTGAGCTCGCGTGTCAACCTAAGACCAACTGTCTTCTGCCTTTGACAGAAGGATTTTACCTCCATAATTCAAATCCCAAAGCAAAGCAGCCCGCTGCACTTACTCACATCACTCAGCCTGTTTACACACACGGACGGCCCAAAAAACGCCTCAAAACACTCCCAAACGCGACGCGTTTCAAATCAAACCGATCTTAGCTGGTAATGCGGCGTTCATGTTCACTTTTACCCCACGAACTGTGATATATTCGGGCTGAATATATGTGTGTAGCATCGTTTTTTTTAACTAACGTTAGCAGTTACTCTGATAGTTTGTGGGGCTAACAAACGAACTCAATAATCTCAACAACCTTCACTCAAAAACGTTCCCTACTAAACTATTATCAAATCATGTGAATCTTGGACTTTTTGCTGCAGCCCTGCCTCAAATTAGCATTACTTCAATTTCAACATGCAAACTTGAGCCCTGTCCGAGCTCTGGACATCACAACCAACCCAAAACGAGTGAACAAGGGACAGAAATACAGTACAATAAAAGCTGCTTACATGGCCTGAGTTCGCTGGAAAAAACAGAGGCAGCCATTTTAGAACATACTGAAGTTGTGTCCCAAATGTCATACTATATATACACTATGCGCTTACGCTATGTAACGTTACTCAACCGTCCAATGTATGCATTTTATACGGTTATCTTGTCATGCAGAAGTCTGAAAGCCCCTCCAGCTCCGCTAAGTAGCTAACCGTTGGGTGCATGAGGTGTCCAGCGTTCCACACTTCATTATTTTCGGTGAAATGAGAGCATCATCCGGGTATTTAAAAAGCACTTGTTCTTTTTAGCCGTTTCAGTGAACACTATTCGCACAGTTACAGTAGCTACACAAAACGGCATACACGGTGTCTACGTACGTTAGCTAAGCGAATTGGGACGCACCTTGGAAGAAACAATAGCACTGAAGCACACACAGCTCTAACGTTAGCCAAGCGAGTTTAGCAAAGTTTACCTGGGTCCTGTTGAGGGCTTGTCCGGTGCTTCCCGGACTCATTGGAGGAGGGTGATGGCTTCTTTGTGGCCAGGCCGGATGGCCGCCACCGTACTGACTAACGTTACTGATGTCCCCCGGTCCTTTGGTAGCCCCGTCCTGGCCGCTATACTCACTGGCCGGGTAGTTTTGGTAGCTCCTCGTGGAGCTGGGAGAAGTCAGAAGCTGGTTCAGCGTTGGGGTGGACGTGGGCTGAGGGGTTCCCATGTTATACCTCTGGTTGTTGTAGGGAGCAGCAGTAACGTTACTAGTTCCTCCTGGCGGCGGTTGCTTGCCTGGCTGCCCCCCGGCCGTCGGCTGCTGGCTGTTTCGCGGGGAATTCACGCCGTAGCTTTGGCCCTGCTGGTACGGAGTCCGGTTTGGGAAGGGGCTGTAGTTGTTGAAGTGGTTCGGGTAGCCGTGTTCGTGCGAATTGGGCGGATATGAGTCCATCACCGCCGGCCCTGCCATGCCAGGGCTTTGTTGTCCGCCATGTTGATGAAAAGGGGCCCGGTTGTAGTGCTGGTTGTAGGTGTATGGAGGTGGGGGAAAGGCTCCCGTGTGGTGGGGAGCCATGCCGGGGTGGTTGTTGCCTTCGGAATCATTCTGGCTATTGTTATTGTTCACCCTGGACGGGTTCCCGTTGCCGTTCTTCATGTCAGGGTCTCCTCCTGCTCCTCCTCCTCCCGCAGCAGCAGCATTTCCCACATCGGCCCCGTCTAGTTCCTTCTGTCCCGGGGATCCGCCGTCGGAGCGCGGCTCCTTGCTTTCCTGCTGCTGCTTATCTCCGAGCACCGACTCGTCCTGCGGCTCCCGCTCCGGCTTTTTAAGTTCGACGGGTGGGCTAGTGTTGAGAGTGGCGACCTGAGCGGCCATGATCTCTCTCTCTCCCTCTCTTTCACCGCGAGTCACTTTGAATATAAATACAACGCTCTTATAAAGACGTGCCCGTGTCCCGTATCATTCCTTCGACTTTCAGACCGAATCCGGTCTTCTCTCCCGAATGCGACTCGAGTATAAAAAGTTTCCTGGAGAATATAAATAAAGGTCCCGGGAATGAATTTAACCGACACAAATGTGTGTGTGAGTGTGTATGTGAAGGGGGGGCCTCTTACAGAACGAGAGCGCGAGAGAGAAACCGATCAAACCAGCACGAGGCTCCGCGAGACACAGCCATTTTACCGAAGCGCACGGTCACATGCAAAATGCGTCATGGAGCGTTGTGCGGATCCGGAGTGAGAGGGAGAAGTATGTCATCAGGTACTTTCACATAGTTTTGGCTCCAGTTCGTGGAATGAACACAAAATAGCCTACGTGTGAGCTTTGGATTTTATTATGAAATTAAACATAAAATAGAGTTTGTATTGTGTGAGTATTGTATTCAATTAATCTAGAGTTGTTGTTGTGGTTTTAATTAGGTGGAGGGAATGAAAAATGTAAACTCTTTTAAATCATTTTTTCTTAAACATCACCATGAAATCCTAATAAAAAATCCTACTTTTTGTGGAATATTTCAGTATTTATTATAAATATAATAACTATATAGGCCATATGTTTTTTTTTTCATTATATTTAACCAAAATAACTACCCTCTCTCTTGCAGCAACATCTTCTCTTCTCAGATTACGTGTTTACTGAAACTGGACAATTCTCCATTGAAAAAATCAAGTCTCCCCTATTATTTCTTGTTGTTGTTGTTTTACTTTTCTTTTTTTTTTGCAAAACATACAGAAATTATATGTTTATGACATACAACTTTGAATACAGTATACAAAACATATTAGAAATATGTTCAATGGCATTAGAATACAAATGAGAAAAAAAGAGTTTACATTATTTCTTGTTCAAAAAGACGTTCACTCAGATATCTCTCAACTTCCATTTCACGCCAATTGAAAAAAATGTACCCATGCAAAACTCGTTGCCACAATGTTAGGGATTCCAGGATGCTATGCAGTTGCCAGTGTGGTTGCTATGCAGTTGCTATGGTGTTGAGTGCTTTGCCGAGGGGTTGCTGGGTGATGGACCCTTTTCACTTTTCCGGGGTTATCAGAAGCGGAAGTCATTATAATTGGGTAAATTTATGGCAGCGGACGGGAGCGAATATAATTTTTGTATTTCCATTTGCTCCAATAGCAAAAGAAAAAAATCTGTGATAGAGTTTCCATGACTTTCCAAAAGAGGGGGGGAAGAAAGATTATGTTGGTCAGAAGAGAGAATTTACCATCATAGAAACACCTTCGCAGCAATGTTGATTCGTTTATACATTTACAAACAAGGAAATATAACACAATGAATAGCGTAACAAATGTGTAATTTTTTTAAAAAATATATTAAAAAACTACTAGATTTGATGTTGATAACAGAGGAAACGCATCATCACAGAATTTGAAAAGGGTCACCTGTGTTTTATGATAATGTTCTTTCGATGTGCATCAGGTTCCTCTTCAATTTCACTCATTTCAATTTCACTCACCTTTTTTTACGTCCATAACACAAAATTGTGTGACTTACGCAACTATCTCTAAAGGGGAAGTGTGTCATTTCGGAACAATGTTTGAGAATAATGACTGTTTTCAAACAGGTTTCATGAACGCTCCTCCCATCAGCCATTGGTCAGCCAAAAGGATTATCCCACCCCAAACTCACACCATTGGTTGAAGTCATGATCCCACTGTAATTTTAGTATTATTTATATAATATTATAGTATTTACTCATATCTTGAATTTAATTTAATTTTAGTTTTATAATTTTCTTATGTTTTTTGTCATTTTTTTAACATATTTTTTTAGCTTTGATTTATTTTTTTTATTCAGTTTTAGTCATTTAAGTGGGCCTACTTTTTATTTAATTTGTTAATTTAATATTTCACAAAAAGTATATTTAATAGTTAATACAAATAATCTTTAACAACATTGGGAAGACCGACAGTGGTCACCGCTAAGAATGGAATAAAATAATACTTTAATAGTTACATCATATTTACAGTACTATAACATGATATGTACCGCACTTTACAAAATATAAACAAGTGTTTAGAACCAAGTGTGTTCTTGCATATTTCAAACAGCAAATGAGAGGGTTTATTGCAGCAGCGTTATGTTTGATCTGTGCAGAGGACAGCATGAAATTACAGCCTGTGTGCTAATGTGTATGTGCGCATGTGTTCAGAGAAGGAGAGAGAGAGAGAGAGAGAGAGAGAGAGAGAGAGAGAGAGAGAGAGAGAGAGAGAGAGAGAGAGAGAGAGAGAGAGAGAGAGAGAGAGAGAGAGAGAGAGAGAGAGAGGGATGGAAAGGGAAAGAGGATGGGGGATGGACCGAGAGCAGGAAGTGAAAATGAAAAAAAAAAAAAGTGAAATGCAGCGCAAGCCATTGAGAACAGGAGAGAAAAAAACTGCGTAGGCCGCAGCAATCAAATCTGGCACACCAAATTCTACAGCAAAACATGTACTTGGTTTGGTAAAGAGATACCAGAGAGCTCATAGAGACAGGCAGGGCAAAGTAAATAACCAAATGGAAACAGCCATGCTCTTTCCCCCACTCAAACACTGCTGCTCTCCCCACCCCCTCTCATTCTCTCTGCCTGTCTGTCTCTGCCTCTCTCCCTCTCTCTCTCTCTCTCTCTCGCGCGCGCTTCTCGCAGCAGCGGCTGGCTGTGTGCTTGCAAAAGCAGCAGAACTTTGCTATCTGGCTGTGGGGGATGGGCGGCAAACACGCACAGCGCTTTCCCGCTAAACGCAAAACCCGCGAACGACGCCAGGTAGCCTGACCCGCGTCAGTGCTTATAATCAAGTTTTTACTGTTATAAAGTAAAATAAACTCAAAAAATATTTTATAAATGCGTTTGTGCGCATGTGTGTGTGTGCTCGGTGCGAATGCGCGTGAGTGTGTGTCGAGGAGGAGGGGGGTCAGTCGCTGACTATATCAGCAGAATTGCGAGTGTTGTGCGGGTAGAATGTAGACATGCAGGCAGCAGAGGGGGTTGGGAACTCTCTCCAGCGTTTTTTTGCATTTAAAACCAATTTAATGTCTGTTTTGAAGCATTTTTTCCAGTTACTCTATTAAATTACTAAACAATGGGTGCTTAAAAGTCAACATGAAATCAAAATTGACCCTATGTGTTTTTCTTAATGTGTCTCTCTAGTCTAGTGGTGCATGTTATTCACAGGGTATAAAAGCTTTTTAATTTGTCATCTTTTATCAGAGTACACTGTAAAAAATAATTTTTTGGTGAAGTAAATACTAGTGAAAAAACCCAATGTAATTTATTTACTTAAAAAACTAAGTAAATTCCATATCAGTACTTAATTCAAGCCAGTAATGAAAGTGTAAATATCAACTCAATAAAATTAAGTAAAAATTACTCAACTTTTCTGATACTGGGGTTCCCATCATGCACTGGGCCTTGAATAATTAATGAGGCTCATTTTTCACTGGTTTCCAGCTGTATTTACACTGTTTTATCATTGGTTTTTGTTCTCAGTATTAGTAAATTGCCATTTTGTGACATTTCGAGTAAATTTTTTGCGCAAAATGACGCATTCAAACACAAAAACGATCCATCAAATGTTACCGCCATTGTGTATTGTCTACCAACTATTGAGGTGTTTGCATTCACATGAGACTTAATGTCTGACATTATGTATTTATAAATTACTTAGATAATCTAAGTAAAGCACATAAATGACTAATAAACCAACCTTTTACTAGCTGAGTTAAAAATAACATATTTATTGTAAAGTTTACTTAATTCCATATTCCAAGTAAATTTAACTTAAAGATTTCTAATTAAAGCTACTGATAAATATGTTTAGGTTTTTACTTGGCAAATCTTTGTAAAATTACTAGCATTTTCTGAGTGAGAAAGTTTAGCAAGGTTTTTTCAAGTAAATCCTACTCCAAATTTTTTACAGTGTATAGTGACTTTCCCTTTTCCATTTTTGCATATGGTATGCGGCTGTAGGAACATGTTTAGTTGGCATTGTTTTACTTACGCAGCCAGACTGCTTTCTGTAATGTAGAAGTCTGACTACACTTTTTCATTGGGGAATATAAATGAGTCAAATTATTGTAAAATGGTTTTCAAAAGTGGCTTAAATACTTTGTTGTTTGCCCTCATTTAAACTATACTTTTCCTTGAATGTTTCCATAACCGTTCTGAAAATGAAGTGTGATTTGCAATTGTAGTGTAGGCTACTTTAAATATGTAGACAAAAGAACACTTAAAAGTTTAAATATCTGGAATATAAATATAAACTATAATACATTTTCATTTAATTGCAGTTAACATTCACTTAAGTGTCTGAAAACATTGTATTGTATTCTTATAACGTATTATTTATTTCCATAATAAGAATACTTATTTTTTAGCTAGGAAGGGTTAAGCTAAAATCTAGATTTTGATTAAAAATAAATAAATAAATAAATGAATGAAGTTCATGGACATGTTGTTTGCCAATGAACAAAAGAATACAAAAAGAAAGAACATGATTAGCAGATAGGCAGTTGTAATGGGAAGATTTAAGTTGAATGCTAAGAATCCAGCACAAAGGCCTTTAGATCCAGGGCTCATTGAATGCCATTGACTTTAGGGGCCACTTTTCTTTGAAACATTTGGCTCTGGCTGCAAGTCCTGGGCTTTCAGACTGAGGGACCAGGTTGTATAGCAACAGAAAAATGCTTGGCCACCAGCTCTCCCCCACTTGAAAAGAATGAATCAGAGATTTTTTCCACCTACATGGATTTCACATTCACTCTCTTAGTCATAGTTGTCAAAGGATAAATGAAGCTTCTACATAAGTGTCTTTACCTCTAATTTCTGCAGTGAAACCCTTCTAATGAACTCAGATTAAAAGCTTTCTCAAAGTCAGATCACC